CCCATGCACGCCTAGCTTATTATTCGTCCAGCCATTGTCGCTGACTGCGATTACCCACTCGCGTGGGATCTCTGCCTCGTACCAGGCAGATAGGTGATACTGGCCAGCGAAGATAAGGAACGGTGGGACTGACCAGCCAGCTGCGTTAATCGCTGCGATCAGCGTTACCCACTCGCGATTGCCTGGCTCAACTGCCTTTGGCCGGCCTCTTCTCTCTGACGCTGTTACGACAAGCTGAGTCGTGATCTTGCCCATCATAAAGCCAGCTTCGTTAAAGTTATAGACGTCTTCGTCGCAGATGCCGTACTTGGCCTTTGTCTGCTCCACAAGCTCAAACCAGCTCTTAATTAGGGCTGGATCTTCACATAGAGCTCTCTGCCTATCGTACGCTCGATTAAAACGCGTTGTAAGAGAGCCTGTACGCCTAATAAAGTTGGCTGGCCACTTCTGCCCAACGTGGCCAGCACCACGTGCAGCTAGTAGCTTATCAGCCATATCACGTACGGCAGCGTAGGTAGGCGCAAATCCACGCTGATCTAGATCAAGTATATGGCTTATAATCACCTCCTCTTCTATCTGAGTAAGCTTTTTTGAGTTGGGCTGGCAATCGCGTCTCGCACGCTTCCCAGCGCGTCGATCGCGTAACGTTGATTCAGGCACGTTAAAGATTGAAGCTACGCGTCGGCCTGTTTGAATTTGATTAGAATTAAGAGATTGTATAGCAAGCTGAATATCTGATTCATTTGAGAGTAATTGAATAGCGTGGCGTGGAGCCATGATAAAGGCAAGTGTAATAGAGTAAGAAAGTTGGTGAGGTGCGCGACTCGCTTGCCTGCGCGACTCGCTTATCCGCCACGTTAGTTCTAGAAGTTTTTTATGAAAGACAGGGTGGATTTGTATGCCTTATAGAAGTTTTAACTTATAGTTTACTTTCTCTATTTTCTCTAGGATCTTAAATAGTCCTATTTGGAGGTTATCTAATTTTCTATATAGTCGTTTAGTTTTTAGGTTTTATCTTAATAGGAAAACTTTATTCCCCTTCTTAAAGGTTAGTCCCTTAATCCTTAGTTTATTTACTACTTTAGATGTTATAAGGTTTCGTTAAGCTATATTCTTACTTAATTCTTCGTATAATTCTCGCATAAGCTTCGCCTTATCGTCTACTTCTACCGCGATACTTTCGATATTCTTCAGATCTTAGTAGGCGGTCGGCTTATATCCGTAGTTCGCGTAGTGCGGCAAATACTTTATCATTACTAATTTTATACTATTATAGGCTAATTACGCTATTAGTAGTAACTCTATCTAGTTATTCTATAATTTATTAGCGTACATCCATAGGTACTATTCTAATATCTAGTTCGTGCGTTCCGTCTGGCCGTCTATTTCTAGGTAAAAGCTTATCAAAAGCTTCTTCTTAACACCTAACTTTACTAGGAATATACTCTAGTATTTAGACGTAAACAGTTTATTATAATCAGTAATAAACTCTTCAGGTATCCCATACTCTAACACTAATACTTTAGTAACTTCGTACGCGTATTTATCTACCATAATAGTCTCTTCCGTAGACACAAACTTTACTACTTTAGTTAATCAGTCCACAATTACTAGGATAGTGTCGCAGAATCGAGCTAATCCTAGTTCTAACGATTTTAGAAGCTTCACTATAAAGTCTATCGTTACGCTTATCTATAGTCTAGATAGTAGCTGTAAGAGTTATAACAGGCCGTAGGGCTTATATCTCTTAGGCTTATTCTAGTAACATGCCAAACAGTTACCTAGTATTTCCTACATCTTCGCTCGCAAGCGTGGTATCGCAAACACCTTAGCTAGTCGTCTAACTATTTCATCCACACCTACGTGTCCATATTCTAGAGACTCATACAGGGTCTTAATAAGTTCGGTTCTTATATGTGGGAGTATGTACGTACTTATACATTCTCCTAGAGCTTTAAGCTCTTTCCTATCATTTATTACTTCTAACGGGTAAGGGTCCGTTTCTAACGCCCATAGCGTTGCCTTTTCCTGCCATTATTTCTATAGTGTTTTTACCTGCTCAGCCACCTTAGCTACCTTAGCTAGTTCCGGCTAGTTGTACTTCAGACTACCATCAGGCATCGTCTTAAGTAAGGCGTTATATAGTTCTTTATAACCCTCTTCGCGCAAATCAGACCTTCTACTTAAAGCGTCTACTACTCCATTAAGCGTTCCTACGCGGTACGTAATCTTAAAGTCAAACTAGGCTAGCATCTCTACCTATCGCACTTATCGTTAGTTAAGTTTTTTCATTATCATAAAACTCGTCAAGTTCTAGTAATTAGTAAAAACCTCGATCTATTCGGGGAGTTCTAATAGGTACACTTCTTATTATTTAAAGGCATTAACTACCCTAAATAGTTCCTTATTATAAACGTTATAGTTAAGTTCTACTCTAGAGAACTTCCGTAAATAGTAGAACACTAGTCTCCATTTCCTGTCTAGGCACTGCTATAACAATACAGCTCCGAGTGCATAGTCTAAGGCGTTAGTCTCAACCCTTATTAGTTGTTAAGAGCTGTACATCTTAAGTACAGATACCTCTAGAAATATCTACTTAATTTAATTAAAAGCCTCTTAATATTTCTATTCCTATTTAAAACCTATTTCCTTTTTCGTTATTTCCGTAAGGGGTGCTGTGATCTTTAAGTAATCTCTAATAAACTTTTAATAGTAATTCGCAAATCCTAAGAAGAATTAAATATCCTTAACTATTTTAGGTATTAGCTATTCCTATATAGTCTATATCTTCTTTAGATTTATTTTTACTCCTTCGGTTAATATAATAAATCCGAGAAATTCCGTTTCTTATATATAGAATTCACACTTTCCTAGTTAAAGGTATAGCTTATATTCCCTAAGCTTTCATAAGACCTTCTTAATATACTCAACATATTCTTCGCGTATACCGCTAAAGTATACTAGTATATTATCTAGATACGCGGTAATAAAGATTCTGAGATACTTATAGAGAGCGTTATTAATAACTAATTAAAAAGTTACTGGCGCATTCGTTAATCCAAACAGCATAACCGTATATTCAAAGAGTCCGTACTTCGTTTTAAACGCTATTATCCATTCGTGACCTTCTTTAATTCTAATTTAGTAAAATCCTTCCTAAACGTTAAACTTCGTAAACTACTTAGCTCCCTAGAGTCGATCCATAAGCTCTATAATAAGTAGTAAGGGATATTAGTTTTTCTAAGTAACGCTATTCAACCTTCTAAAGTCGACATATAGTCGCCACTTCCTATTAGGTTTCTTTATAAATAAAATAGATAAGGCTATTAGGCCTAATCCTAGTCGGATAAATCCCTTCTTTAAGTTCTTCTAAATATAATCCCGCAGCTCAGCGTCGTACTCAGGCGCTATAGAGTACATTAGTCCTAGGCTTAACTTAGCTCCTTTATTAAGGATAATCTCGTGATCCCAATCCTAATAGTCTACTAGGTCCGTTACCTCATTTTCTTCGAACAGTTCTCTAAACTCGTCCGTTTAGTATTCTATTAGAATCGCCAACTATAGTACCAATCCATCCTTTATAGTCGCGATCTGCCGTATCTAAATAACTCCTACTCTCTAAAGGTTCTTTACATAGATTCTCGCAATCTTATGCGGTAAGATTATACTAAATCTCCCATCCTAGGTTGCGCGCTAATTCGTCGGGCGTATCTCGTGTCATACTTTAGCAGCCTTATGCATAGGCTCTCAGCTAAGTAATATCTTCTTTTGCCAATTAATGGCAGGGTTGTGCTTTAACAACCAATTATAGCCAATTATCATCTCAGTCTCTCTAAGATCCATAATGCTAATCTTTTCTCAGCTTTCTTAACCAGCTAGGCGTAACGTTACTACCTCGGTCTTAAGTCAGATCCAGCCGTTCCCGTATGTCGTAGGACTATCGTCAGCTAATACCACTCGCATCAGTACCTTCTTATTCCAATAAAGTATGTTGTTTCCTTCCACTACTCGTAGAGATATAACAGTTCGTACTACCCCACTATCTATAAGCGCTAACACCTCATATCTATCTATAAGTACTGTAGCTTTTAATTACAACTCTTTTGCTCCCACTTCCTATACTTACTTAAGGGTCGTTTTAGGACTACCTTTGCCAGCGTAACCCTATCTCTAGTAGCATCCTAGTTTTTTAACTGCCTGCTTCCCTTCTTCTTTAAGAAGTAGCCTTCGTCTGCCTTAGCAGAATAGTGTATCATACACTAATCGTTATAGCAGAAGCTCTAATAGATATTCTTATAAGGTATCTTCTGTTGCGTAGCCCTCTTCCTTAGTTTTAGCTTCTTACTTTTATAAATCAGGCAATCCTTTACCTCATAAATATTCGCTAGTAGAATACTATAGTAGTAGTTGCCTACCTGTTAAGTATCCTCGAACTATTATTAGTGCATAG